GTTTCATGAGAGACATGCAATTTCAGGGCCATTTCACGAGTGTATTGCCGTGGGTTAGACTCAACAAGCATCTTTAGAGCATGAATATCAATTCCAACATGTCGGCTCCTGCCATCACAGTTTTTAAGGCTAAAGTCACCTGAACAAAATTTGCTGAGCCATCGTTGACAAATATGAACATTAAAAAATTTCCATAAACTTCTTTGATATTCTTTGTGGCTAAAGAGGCATTGTTTCCTTTCTTGTATTCAAACAGCATTGCATGCCAAATGTTATTTTTTGTGTGTGTGTGAGGGGGAGATAATGAAAGTTTTCCAAAACGCGACATTAATTTCTTGATGACCTAATAAATTAGGTAACAAAAAAATAAAACAGAAAAATGCTTCTGTGAGAAACGCGAACAAAATGGAGATAATTCAGAAATGTAGTTTCAGACTGATGATAGCCTTTCATAGGAATAATAGAACAATAATTAATATTCCTGACATACATTCCAGAAAAACAATTTAACATTCTAAACATCATTAAATTAAACTCTTGTCATTTGTATATAAGCACATTCTACTCCAGAAATTTTAATTTTATTGATAAATTTAGAAAATTAAAAAAAGTATATTAGCAACAAAATTATAATTGCTCTCCTTACATATAAGCATTTCCCATGTAAAAAAAAACGGAGACAAAAGTACTTAAGGTAAGGTTATAGCAATTAGATACCTTGTGGTGTCATGGTTAGCAGCCTATGTGATCACTAAGTCTAATTATTAATTAGTTGCTTTTTATTACTAGATACTAATTACTATCTAGCAATAAAAAAATTAACAATCATACTTAAATGATCACATATGGAACTTTTCTGAACCATTAAGATGCATCTAGCTATAAGTATACACAGTTTGACTCCACATGCTGTCACTTCTCAAACTCACCTTACTCATCATAGCAAACTGAGAGGAATAAGGTTTTCCAGGAAAATGCACATGGACACCTTGGATTGGGTACACTCTATTTCCATGTGCATCAATTGACTGAGTAGAGGATGGAATCTGAGAAGCATCTATAGAGCAGGATGCATCCATGTTTGGACAAAGAAGTGCTTGAAAATGTTGGTCAAGGACACCTAGAATTGCAACAGATAATAAAGCTATACATTTTTATCTGCAATTTCAGTACAAGACAAGTACACAATGAAGGTTTCAAAATATTCTAGAACCAAAAGTTATAACACTTTTACAGATATCAATATATGACCATAATTGATATTAACAGCACCTTTGGAAAGCTGTTTCAATTGTGTTCTGTTTAAGAACACAAATTGGCAATATACACATTCTGAGTTTTATAGGCTAATTTCACAGCTCAAGAGTCATGCTACTTTCAATCCATAACAACATAACTGAAAAAAAAAACAACTGAGATTTCTAATATTCAAAATAGAAACTTAGTTTACAAAAGCATCTGTCCAGTTAGCAGTCACAGGTTCAAACCTCACATTTCAATTTTTCAGAAAAATTCTTAATATTTTGAAAAAATTAATAGTTTAAAACATGGACACAATTTTCAATATTAAGAGATATAAGATCAAGCACTTAAGACACTATGCTAAGTATTGTTTTTCTAAAACAAATTTTATTCCAAGAAAGTCATTGTAATGAAGAAAAAGGATTTGATTATGAATGTTTGTGACAAAAAATAGTTTAGTATTGCCAGATTGGTGTTCATACCTAAACACATTTTATGAGCTCATAAATATAGTTATTGTAACTTTATGAAAAATATGTAAATCTTTTACAAAAGCATAGAGAAGGTTTATTAGAAAATAGAGGTAAAAAGAACACAGTATCAAGGCCAAAACAATATCAACAGAAAAGAAAAAAGTTACGTAGCTTCCCATCCATAGAAAATTCATAAGAATGAAGATTAAGAATCATAAAAAATTAAGATCCCCCAAAAAATACCAAAACCTACACTAAAAAGTGTGAAATTGTACCAGTAAGTATAATACCATAACAACTGCATGTTTAAGATAAAATAAATTCAAATTAATATTAGCATAAAATTACATTACTTAGTTAATATTAACACCACATAATAGTTTTGTGTGTGCAACAGACAATAACTAAAATGGCAAGTGTACATACAATTTAAGGACAACAAGCAACCTGTTGGTCACCTAATATGTCCCATCCACTATATTAAACTCTAAAAATAAAACACTTCAACCCACCTATAATCAAATATTTATCCCTTATACTCCCTTAAACTCATTGCATCTACAACATCTGAAGGCAACCCATTCCAGAGGCCAAACACCCTTTAGAAAAATAAAGCTGTCTTAGCTAAAGGATCTTTTAATCACTTTCATTTTCAAAAGGTTGAAAAGAAGAGTAACATTAGCTATATAATAAAGCTATTAAATATCAGATTGAAATAAAGTTTTTTCTAGTTTCAGCTAAAGATCATTTAAAGTTTAAAATTAAATAAAAATAGTTAAGTAATGTTTCTATTATTTTCAGAAAACTGCTGAGAATGAGATTGAAAATTTAATTAATACTAATACTGAGTATTAGTAATACATTGGTACTGGTGATTGTTTAAATTAGCATTCAATTGCGTGTAACTAGACTTATGTACAAACATAAAATTAAGAAGTGAAATTACAGCAAAAGTAAATTCAAATAATTAAAATGTCTCAAAACGTCTATCAATAACACATATTGTATTTGTAATTCTAAAAATAAAACTAATAGTCATTTACAGATCAACATACAACTAGTTTGGCGCCACACTTTTCATGATACTAATATATGAAGCGCTATCTATAAACAGAAGTTGAATATTTGAATTATCAAAAAACAGAAGCTACAATATATATCTTAATTGTGCTATTATTCTCGCTTGTCAATTTAAGGAATAATTTTTATTAACCATATAAATATTTCAATAGATTGAAAATATTTAATGTACACTAAGTTTGAGGACTGTATTTGTTCACATTCGATAGAGCTGTATTAGAGCCAAATGTTTAATTTTGTTATTAGTAACTCATTTTTAGTATAATAAAATCCTATGATATATATCTATATTGTTACGCCTCTGTGTTCGTTGGTTAATTTTCCGTAGAAATTCTTTCCGAGAAACTTCAGCCGATACAAGTTCTTTCTTAAATAAAACTAGTTTATTCTTTCTCAATTCAACTTTTCAATACACCTAATTTCCACAGTCACTTTCACTTCAACACACGCTAGAATTCACAACGATTCACGCACTCTCTGTCCGCAATTCAATTCTCCCTCTCGTCACTTCTTGCCGGTCATATATATACAAAATAGAGGGCGTCTGGCAAACACTTGAGCCTTCACGAACGTTCTAGATACTCATTACGTGTTACCAGCACCACGTGAATTCCGTTGTCGTAACAATATATTGTTACGTCTCCGTTTGTTAATTGATTTTTCCATAACTTCGTTCCGACGAAATTTTAACAACACAAGTCTTTACTTAATAAAACTGGTTTATTCTTTCCGCATATAACTTTACCGATACACTCAACTTCAACAATCGCGCTAAACAAACGCTATAACAACGAACGTCAATAATACTTCTGACTGCAGTTCAATTACTCACTATCTACACACACACATTACATTCCATTACCACGTCACGTTGCCACCCTCTTATATATACCAGACTACCCTATCTAGTAAATACTAGAGCATTCATGAAGGAACAAGATAGTTCTAGAAACTAGAGGGCGCCACACCAGTCACGTGACCTCGATGACGCAACACTGCCCCTCCTTAGTATTGTTCGTCCCGAACAATAACCACATACAATAAACCAATAACAATTAACAATAACTCAATTAACTGTACAGAATTACAAACACGAAATTACAATTCAAAGTCTCTTAATTTTACGTATCTTCTTCCCTACTGGTCTCCGTCTCATTGGCTTCTGCTTCATGTGGGGTT